ATGTTTTTTAATACTTTCATGGTGATTTTGCATCCTTTTTGAAAACTTGAATCTCCAGTCCCTATTCATTTCAATAGCATGAAAAAATGACTAGTACATTCTTCATAATATCTCCTTTTGTGTTGCACAGAAGAAAGAACATCATACAAGAACATCAGATGCTGACAGAATTTTTATTTTTGGGTGAACTGTTCCTTTAAGTGTAAGTTATTGTAAATAACTCTTCAAGCTATTTATATTTAGTTTGCTCTGAAAATGTGAGACATATTGTATTTGCACTCAGCTTGTCACTGTTCCCAAAACTGGAGTCAGACGGCAGATGAATTTAGAAGGGTGTTTAATTAATAATCATGACACAGCCTGGGGAGCATTTCTGATGTAACTGCAGCCTATTATTTACTAGCGTTGCAAAAGTTCTTAGAAGTGTTTAGGGTGCTAAACTTGGCCTTATGTTTGATAGACTTGTGTCTCATGCATTTCACATCTTCACTCCTCGGTTTTTGCACTGTTTTCTCTTTGCTTGAGAGGACATTAAAAGACAATCAGTATTTCAGTTCGTTTGAAGACGATTTTGTCAAGACAAGGTTGATGTATTTCTTTTCTTTGCGCACTCCTCGCTGAAGTGTGATTAGTTCTGTGTTCCCATTCTTCCCTGGTTCAAATGTAACAGATGATTAGAAATGCCTCCCAAAACAAAGTCCACTGCGATTTATACACGAGGTTTCCTGCAGGTAATTTTGATATGCTTGTCATTTACACCTCTGTTAAAAGTTCACTTACGAGCTTGTCTGGGAAATTGGCATTCATATTTGGGGAGGTTCAGCCCTCTTGTGTTTGTAATAGTGACTCAGTGTATGTAGTCGCTGAATTACAGAATGTCTCTCCCTTGGAAGTTGAAGCCCATTAAAGTGATAGATTGCACTGTGTCGTAGTTTATGCTTAGGGACAGTTTACACCCACAAAGCAGTCTAATTGCATTCATTCCGGTGAAAAATCCACAAACGTTGAATCTGGGCTCTCAGGCGAGTTGGCAGCAGTCTACCTGACATCAGAAGACTGCCTTTGAGGGAGAAGAACGAAAATGTAAATTCTGACAATGAAAAGACAGGGTCTATATCATCTGAAGTCAGTGGACAGGCCTACCATGCATAATTATAAAAGACGGTACAAGCAATGGATGGGTTCATTTCTTCTTCTCTAAAGCTTGTTGATCTGCACATTCCTCCCCGTCATATCTTGTTAAAATGAATGACAATCAGTGCATCATTTCAGCCTCTGAGACAAAGTCTCTACCTCCCATTTCAAGCTCCAAACATCTGACGAACATCACGTTTGCCTCTTATGCTGCTTGTCATTTTCTGGCACTGCAGAAAATACCTTTGAGAACGTATGAATAGCAATTAAGACATTTTCAAGTGAGGCGACTTTGGCACAGCAGTTCTTCTTTCTCTGCCTCTTCCCTCTCTTGCCATATCACTTCTAACATTTTTGACAGCAATTACTATCTTTTTTTACATACGCAGGCCTACACAGTATATACAATCCTATACACTGTATTGTTGCTTTATTTGTATTTTGTGTTTGCCTTGAGCTTCCAGCATATAAATAACCTCCTAAGTTATGTTTGTTGTCGAAGAGTTGTAGTATTTGTTGTAGGGACAAAATGTAATATTCAAATGCTAGAAAAAAATGTCTTTTGACATGCAATGACTGCATACGGAACAAATATGCATCTGCTGGTCCAATGCATAGTCCTAGATTATTAATCTCCTCGGCAGAACTATCTGTATCTTTCCCTCAAGTTCCATACCAGTCACTAAAAGGTAAAAAAAAAAAAAAAAAAAATGGGGGAAAAAAAAAAAAAAGGTTTGTGTGAAAAACAGCATATAAATAACCTCCTAAGTTATGTTTGTTGTCGAAGAGTTGTAGTATTTGTTGTAGGGACAAAATGTAATATTCAAATGCTAGAAAAAAATGTCTTTTGACATGCAATGACTGCATACGGAACAAATATGCATCTGCTGGTCCAATGCATAGTCCTAGATTATTAATCTCCTCGGCAGAACTATCTGTATCTTTCCCTCAAGTTCCATACCAGTCACTAAAAGGTAAAAAAAAAAAAAAAAAAATGTGTGCAAAAAATAAAAAAGGTTTGTGTGAGAAACAGGCCAGTTTTCAAGTTATCAGTTTAGACATTTTTCTTATTTTATTTTATTTTATTTTATTTTTTTGTCATCGTTTATGGGGTTTGACTGAACTAGACACTAAGCTGTCTTTGTATATCAAAAGCTGCATAATGATTATTCCAAAATGTTTGTGTTTCTTGAAGAAAAGAAGCAGCGGATTGGTTTTGAACAACACGATGGTGAGTAAATAATGACAGAACTTTCTTTTTTGGGTGAACAGTTGGAATTCAAAGCATCTTAGTGGCTGTCCAAAAAAAGATTGTGGATTGTGGATGCCAAAAAAGTAACTCTAAGGTGTAGCGTGATTTGTAATAGTAGCAGGATGTATTTTTTATTTTTTTTTACATGTATAATTTATATTTCATCAGCCTGGCCTAATAATTATGCAGCATTATTATCTCAATTACTTGCCCTTGACCTAGTTGATGCAAGTTGACATTTATTGTTCATAGCAGGGATAGAGAACTGGCCTTTTGATTTTTTTTATTTTTTTTTTTTACTTAATGTAATGGGACTAAAAGTGCAACAGCACCATCTGCTGTAAACACACAAATTATGCATACACATCAAAATGTAAAGCCATGTTCTTCAGAGCCGGGTTTAGTCTGTCTCACTGTAAGTCATTGCAAGGTCTGCCGCAACTTTTACTGGATGGAGTCCAGGCTGTCGTGTTTATACTGAATTCTTATTTGAGCTCTGCAATCAGTATGCAAAGTAATTTGATGGTCCGGATGATATCGACAGGAGCTTAGATTACTTTTATGTAATGTCCAACAAAATCACACTTGCAGTTTTATTGCAAGATGAAAATAATGCGTGCTGAACATTTTGCGACAGATCATTATGAAGTTTTGTGATTTCAGAAAGCTAAAGCTAACTATTCTAATTATAAATTCCTCAATGCTAATAAAACAGATGAAACCTGAAATGCTGCGAGTGGATATATATTGATTTGGCATTGATTTCTCAGTTCCAGCGTGGATGAAGCAGACACAGCTTTCCATGAGGCCATGAACCGGAGGTCAGGTCATTTCAGAAGGCTTTTCAGATATTGCCATTTCCAACATCTGGATGGACTGAAACAACACCTGCAGTCTTTTTGCCCTTTTACACTACCTCTCCACCCGTCGTCTGATGTGCTGCTGCAATTGCGTTGCATTAATAATCAATTTTTATTCCCTTTGAAATGTTGAGTCTCTGTTTTGCGCTTGCTCTGTTGGAGAACAAAGACTATAATTGCAGTCTATCCATTTTATCAGATACATTCTGGCTTTGGACATCGCTCTGTCCTTTCGCATCACTTTCATCTTGTGACATTTCAGACTATCAACAAATAACACATAAATTTTTGAAAGGTTACACTGCAACAATTCAGGGTCTTTTTTCTAGACTTGAACCTCCTAGGTCTCTGGGTCTGTTTGAGTGAAGTGATATTGCCTTTTTTCATTTCATATTGATTCAGTTATGTCCTTCATGTAGAATAATGATTCTACCCATGTGCTGGATTTATTGACCGCTGTAGTAATCTTGCTGTTATTGTTAGATTTTGACTTCTAATCCATAATGTTTAGCATAAACAAACTAGCCACGTTGGTAACATGTTGATTTTATTGCCGATGACTAGTGATACTAAGTGACTCGAGTTAATGGTCGTATTTTTTTTTTTCAAATGGAATTAGTTATTAGTTTAGTAGAGGTTGCAAGACATCCACAGCTGAGGCAATATGCATCCAATGCTGTACAACAGACAACCACTGGAGTATTAAAAAAATTCAATAAAGGGCTTGAAACGGCATATGCAGGACACGCGGTGCCCGTTCAGACGGTATATGCCACAGAAATACTCAGAAAAAAGAATAGCTTTTTATTTCTAAGTTTCTTCAGCATGCGATATAAACAAAAATGAACAAAAATCAATGAAAGCATTTCTGTATTACAAATATGTCACACTAGTAAACTTATTCTTGATCAGCACGTTACATTCCAGTTAAGTCAAATGTTTATGGCTGTCAAAAACAAGTGAATATCAGTACATCACAACGCAAGAATTCAGACAACAGTTTTAATGACTGACTTTGACATCATGGTTAAAGACCCCACTCATCTATATGCTAGAGTACTTGTAAACACAGACAACAACAAAAAAAGCTCTTTTAGCAGATATACACTAGAGTTGCACGATTATTCATTAAAATATTGTGATCTCGTTTCTAACACCCAGAGAGAACAGTTATGTAAAAGTATGAAACAGTCTTTTCAACCACACAGTATTTTTTTCCCATTACAAACATTCTAATTATCACAGAAGAACTGGGATAAAAGTTTATTTTTGGGATATAACACTGATATCTAGCATTCAAAATTGAGTTCATCATCTTTTGAAAAAGTAACTTTTGCACTTTAAATAAAGATTGTATTATTACATCAATGCACCAGTAGGTGGTGACACGTGACTGTAAACAAAATGTATTCATCCTTGAATCATTCATTCAAGAGGTTGGTTCAAAAACACTGATTCATTTAATAATGGAACAAGTTAATATTTTGAATAAGTCATTGAATCAGTCATTCAAACTGGAAAAAAATTTCATTCAAATTGTTTTTTTTTTTGTTTTTTTTTAATATACTGCAGTAATCAACATTTTGTCAACACTACTAGCAAATCACATGTTATTTTGTTGTAGCTGTCTATTCAGAATCACTGGTGAATCATGAACAAAACAGTAGAATAATAGAACAGCTCTATTATAGACTTAAGATTTCAATTTTCATGGCTGTGACTAAACTAAAGCCTATTGATATGAAAAAAAGGGATGAGCCCTTTGATATATCCCACCGCAACTTCTGGTTCATATAATGTCAACACAAAACTTAATTCATCAGGTGATTTCACAGGGTCTTTAAAATATTTAATAATGGCATTCAAACATAGAAGTAGCATGCCAGTACAGTATGATAATAAATTACACAGGACCAGGGACTATGTACAATACAAATTACAAAACCTTTACATAAAGGTGAAATATCAATATGATATAATAGTATATTTTCTACTGTAAACCTTATTACCATTTTAATAATGACTTACCGATACGTGCTAATTACTTTGGTGTTTTTTTTTTTATTTGTTTTGCTTTTTTTCTACTTCAGAGACAGTTTCTTAAAGTAATTTCGTGCTGAACCTAGTCTCAGACCAAAAAAATGTATTCAGATGAGAACTGCATGAGTGTGTGTCCACAAACATTTTAGATAAACCAGTGTTCTGTTGCAAGCGTACAGCTGGAAGTATTCACAGTGGTCTTTTAAAATCATTTATCTAAGATCAAAATACATTTTCCACAAAATTGCACAAGTAAACAAGTACGCTGCTGTCTTTAAAATTACATTTGATTTTCATATAGTTAAAAGATATGTCAAAAATGTGATGAGGTTAACAAGATGTAAATATTAAAATGATAAATTGTAACTCAAATTCTGTTTGGATACATTTTCAGAAGTATTCTTTTCATATAAAATGTCTCATATAATTAAGCAAAATCTTATAAGCATCATTTTTTTTCCCTTTTATTCCAGTCTGTAATAGTGCTGAATATCTGAGCGAAAACAGAATGAACTGCACACGGCTGTCTAAATCTGTTGAGATGAATCCAGTGTTGACTATAGCTTTGATGAGCTCTGTGTACTACGTGAAAAGAGCATTCCAAGTGTTGACATCGCAGGCCTCTTCTTGAGGTCACAGTTCAGACTCTGAGCCTTCAAGGCAGTTTCACGACCACCACACATGCCCCCGCCCTCCCACTGTTTAGAGGGACCTCCTAGAATAACAAGAGACAGAGGTTAATGACCATTGTCCAACTGCAGCAAATTCCCTCCTCTGCAGCTCTCTCAGTCACACTCGGTCTAACAGCCCATTGCAGGTAATCTTACGAGAGAGAGAGAGCAAGACGGAGCCATGGGAAGCTGAGACAGGTGGCAAACTAGACTTGAATAGAGCGTTTGTAACTCAGGCTGGCTAAGGAAAGAGCGGTTAACCTCATGGTGTTCAATGCCATTGTGACACAGTGGAAAACAGATGAATGGCAGGAAATGCTTGCACTTCCCGTTCACAGACATACATCATCCAAGCATTCAAGGAACATTCACAAAGTCGACTGTGTTGACATATTTAATGTTCTACAACATTTTTTCCTTCTTTGCAGACAACATGGTTGGTCAAAAATGTGGATAGCTATAACATTTTTGTAGTATTTCAGGAAATACAGTATTTCAGTTTAACCTGAAAGCACTTGTGGCATAATGGTGATTAGCTTGAATAGTAATTTTGAATTGTCAAAATATCTGGGTTGCAGTGAGGTTAAGTGAACTTGCAGTACAATGCAAGTGAATGGGCCCAAGGCGCGTTTCCATTACACATTTGCGCAAAACTTTGTCAATATTTTATAAATGTCGATAAAAAAAGTATTGCGAAATGACGGCGTTTCCATTAACCAATGTTATGCGACTGAAACGTAACCTTTTGCCTCTCGCGATAAGTCATGGCAATGGATTTTGGTGGGATTTTGGCTATATTTATTCAAAGGAGGCTTTTGCGTGTATCTTTACAGAAGCAGCAAAGAGAGCCGCTTCAGAAACGTGTGTGGCGCAGCTGGAATAAACCATAGACTGTATAAAAACATAAACACAAGCACTGAGTGGCCGCAATCAGCTTCAGTGACCGTATCAGAGCCACACTGCACCGCAGACATGTGCAGTGTAAATAGTCTAAGCATTAATGGTAGGGAAAGCCCCTTATACTTGAGAGCAGCCACATATGAAGT